TATGTTTTCCGCGACTTTGATAAATAGAACGTCACATTCATGTTGACGAAGAAGAAATGTAGTTTGTAGAACAATAAGTTTGTTTTGTGAAATGTACCTCTTTGGTTTTTTCACAGAGGTAGCCATAGTTTTAAAGTAAGAATCTATTTATAGAAGGACGAGTAATTAAACAGGAACCGATTTAAACATTTATATGAAAAAAACTGAATATCGAACTGTGACTTATTTGCAGTAGGTACTTTTACTTATGAATATTGATAAGTTCATACATACAAAAGTACAACACACTACCACAACTTAAGCTTAATAAATTCAACTAGGAGGGCATATATCTCAAAGTTTTAATTACCAAACATTGTGACGTAGGTGGCACAAGAAACTAAAACAAGGCTAATATAGTCGGCGGGAGTTTTGCTTTTAACAATGACTTTCAACGCTAATTTATTATCTACAGAGAGGGCTACATTTATTCAAATGTTTCTACTCAACCTGAAACTGTGATATTTCACCTTATTCACAGATAAAATTGTTCTTTTGGAGTAGGCTCCATGATTTAATATCTCGCGCTGTTTTATGTTCGCCATCCGACTCTTGGTTAACGTTCTCTTTTACTGCATCTCCGCTGTATTTGTAGTTTCCTTTGCCGTAAAAGTGTCCGTAATAGAAACGAAATTTTAGACGGTCGCCAGCTGCCATGCTGGTACCCTCGAACTAAAGCGGTATAAAGCAGAAATCATAGCCGTAAGTAAACACGAAATAATGCCTTTGTAGCTTGCAGGAGAAGCGTCGGTGAATTTACCATAAGTTTGTTGATAAATTACACAAAATATTGCTGAGAAAATGTGTGGACGTCACGAAATCCTTTAACAAAAGGTTGTACACAACGGAAGCTTATAATACACTTAAGGCGAAGATATAATAGATAGTAGCTCTTACGCCCCTGCGGCTCATCTAGAGAGGGCAATATTTCACTGAATTAATAAGTGTGAGGGCAATAAATCAGTGGAACTGTGCACCGTTACACGTGGTCCGGGATCTCAGTTAGGATCACGTTGCAAAGCGCTGCCATCCGGGCATTCTGTCAACCGTCCAATTGTTTCAGAACTTGGGAGTAATGTAATTGAGACAATAAATTAAGAAACAATTACAACAGCATTCTATGACGAATACTAAGTTTGTACTATGTTCAGCTTTTTTTTGTTATAATTTAGGGTATTTTGGTCACACCATGCCAAACTCATGATTCCCTAAAAGTATATTTAACAAAACTTACATGTACTTACATTCTACTCTTATTTACTATTTTATATATCAAGATGGCTGCTTCGGATAAAAGTTGTGACAATATACTATGAATAACAAAGTTCAGCTTTGATCACAACAATGACTGATAAAAATTGCGTGAACCAATACATTACCTGCAAAAAGTAGACATAAAGTGACGCCATTCAACTACGCTATTTACTTATTTACGTCGAATATTTGATTTGTCTCTTTGATGTCTTTTATTCGGGATCTAGAAAAGATCGCGCACTTTAGAAATAGGACCAAAGATATTCTTCAGGTACACAGCTGTAAGACTGAATTATTAATAGAATACTATATATTCTATTCGCTCACAAACAAAGGGAAGGAAGAGAAGGTAATATTTTTTAATGCCGGGTCACCGCGCGTAATGGCAGAATTAAGAATTTAGAACAGCATCTTCCTTCCCCGAATTCTTGGGATTAACAGAATTACAAACGTTTTAAATAAAAACTTCGATGAGTCCTCGTTTCCCGTTATTATTGTTACGTTTTCCGCTCTTGTTCGAAGCAGGAGGTCAGGAAACCGCAAAGTTTCCAAATGAAAACGAAAAACAAGAGATGTTGATTTATTGTTGATGAAAGAATTTTGATCTGATAATATTTTTGTTGTTTTCGCCCTCAAGGCGAACATTTTGTCTGGATGGTGGATATTTTTGGAGTATCTGCAATGATGGGCAATATCCTGGAATGGTTTTCTCGGAGATTGTTTTATATTGCGTAACATAATGTCTGCTTCCTTATCAAAGGGGTAGGAAAATGCTTATCGTGAATATAATTTATAGACTTAGGTACTTATTCGATCATCTGTAATGGAAGGAGCCGAAATTGTTGTATGTTGTGTTGTGGTTCCAAATTAGATGAAAATAAGCGCTATAAGTCTACTCAATCAAGGAAACTGAAATTTGGTTATTGGGAAATGAAACACACATAGGATTAATAATGTTAAAATCGAAATTACTTTCTCAGAACAAGCAAGCTATATCGCCATGTAAAATTAATGTTTTTAGCTAATTATGTTAAATAAACAAAGCTAGCTCAAGTTAATGAGTTTCACACGAATGTGTGTTAACATGTTAATGAAACTAATTTTCATTTAGACGCCATTCATATCATTGTGACGAGGTAATTGCCGGCGACGAATTCGTGGCTGTTTCAAATTAATTATCAAATTTCAATTAAGTCTCTTTACCTTAGCTTAATTTGAGTCGTGTTTGGTGTTACAGTACAAGGTTTAGATGAGCAAATGAGATTTTGTAATATTATTCAATCAGATTACTTCACTCTGTCGTTATGTTTTAAGAAAATGAGTACGCACTCTAATTTTTCATACAATCATAGATGGCGTTACTGTGTTTTAAAATCACCCTATCTCTTCTGTTTCTTGCTATTGTTATTTATAGTTCTCTTGTCCTCTCTATCGTCCTACAGGAAGTACAAACATATATTATATACTATTTATAATAATCCTGCACGCCAGCGACCGATTCTTGACTACTGTCGCCTATCATATGCTCTCAAGTGGCTGAAAAATCTCCCTTGTTTATACATATTCTTCCACAGAGTGGACACGTGAGAACACCATAAAAATAGTTATAGTTGCCGCTGGTGGTCCGGCTTTTATTTCGTCACGTTTAGTCTGATATTTTCTATCACACCAGTAACCTTCACTCTCCGCGTGTTGATGCAAGCTCTTCCCACTGAGATGAATCTACGTCACACGCTTTCATGTGTCGCGTAAGCACATCCTTGAGTCTTAAGAGTTGGGTTTTTTTTTAAGGGGGGAATATCATCGAATGACTTCTCCTGCCTGGGTTAGGCGGAAGGGAGTGTCAGACCCTTACTGACTAAAAACCACCCCGTTCCTACCCCTGCACTTCGAGCCGGAGCCCCGGTAACTCGTTAGGTTCTTCGCGACTCCGTATCTAGCGTAGCCCTATTGGGTCCCATCCGTGGTGGTCTGATGGCTCTTTGAGGCGTACGCGGAACGCGACCCGCCGTACGCTCGGGTCTGGTTCTGGTCAGGCGGTCGGGTCTGATTCTGGTAATGCTATTTATATGACCATATTAAAAATACCGTACTAGGTAAAACCGATTCAAGTCAAAAAGTTTGCAGACATTTCCTGAAACTATCTGAGCCCACGGAGACGTAGTTGAAAAATTAACAAAGTTTCTTTGAATAACTGTCTCGCTGAACTAAAAGTAACTCGTTCGATATTTATTATGCTGTATACCTAGACTGAAGCTGAAACTGAAATACAGTTTCAAGCCGTCTTATTCGACGCGATCGTCGTTCGTAGTAAAATATTGAGAACCTGTCATTTACAAGCGTTTTCATTTATAAATTCTTGAACGACATGTTTGTTTATTGTTAAGAAAAGCATATGTAAATTTTGTCTTTAGTGTTCTTGAACTAATTTTTCACCAACGATTGCATTTGTGTGGAGTTTTATCTGTCGAGTAGGTTCCGATAATGTAAGAATATCGGGACACAAATTAGCCTATTCGTACTCGGTGAAAAGTAAGCAGTGCTTTCACCATGTTTAAATCAGTTCTGTAGTTTCGGAGCCTAATCAATGTAAATACATTGGAGGTACCTAGTTGAAACTTTTTTAATTTTTCTCGTTGGTAGTGCGTTTTAACACATTAGGTTTATTTATGGAATGGTTAAAATGAGTGTAGATATTAGCTTTTTTCATATTATCACCATGAGTCCGGGAATTTCGATGTTATGTATAGCGATAATGATAAAAATGGGTGTACATTATTTTAAGTAAGTATTCGTACCTACCCCTATGGTAGCCCCATTATTGTAATATTATAGTAGGGGTAGGATGCTATATCTTCACTTTTTTCATCACTTTTTGCCACTCATATTCCCATTCCCATAAGTACCATTTAATGAGGCAATGAGCGAGCGTCATTACCTATGCAAAAACTATTATTAGGTACATTTAGTGCATATGAACCCACATTTCACTAACCGCAGAATATGAGAAGGCCATTTGCCTGGCAGTTGTGAAATATCACAAAGTGCCATGTTGTAACTAATTATGCTCGGAATGAAATACGTCAAAGCGAACGACGGACGACGAAATTAAAATGAACCGCACAACATAATTTATGTGAGGACAACATTTATGCATTTTTGTTGCACACAATTTGAGATAATGGTCTTTAGGTTGGGAACGGACATTATGGAGACATAAAGTTAGTAGGTTATCTTAAATCGGTTAATGTTAGATTAGGAACATCACTTGAGGTTTAGGATTTATTTTACGGAATAGGAGGCAAATGAACAGGCAGATTACCTGATGGTAAGCGATCAGCGCACACCCGCAACACCAGAGGAGTCACAGGTGTGTTGCCGGCCTTAAAAAAAGGAACACGTTCTTTTCTTGAAGGTTTGAAGGTCGAGTCGGTTCGGAAATACTGCCGTCGACAGATTATTCTACAGTTTTGCTGTGCGAGGCAGAAAGCTGCGAGAGAAGCGCGCAGTTGTAGATGTTAAATATGAAATTAAATTGTTCTCTAATGTCTCTAAGAGAATATTTAGTGGTAGCCCCATACCTCCCTATGCTTAGTTTGTTTCCAACAGATTAGGATTCAATATCATTCTAAGAATTTCAATACTTTGCGGTAAGCCCATCTTTGACTAACTATTTGATTCTAATCCTATTTTCTTTTGTCCCACAGTATTCGATGCATCAGGCCAGTACACTCCTAACGTGTTATTTGGCAACGAGTATTGGCTGGGCTCACAGAATGCCTGCCGCGACCTGCAGCTGAAACAGTACTATGCTCAGACGCCGCCCTTCCCCACAACTTTCTACGTCGCTAAAATCAACCTTACTGTCGACAATGATCATTTGCCACAGGTAATATACTTTATTAATTATATTTTTATAAGTTATGGTAGACGATATTACAGTTCTTTTCGGGAACGGATAGGGTTTTAAACCAGGTTTCTATGAGATGGGGGGAAAACGAGTAGACATATGTACCTAAGTCTTCTGATGGTGAGCAATCAACGCCGATCGAGCAACACCAGAGTAAAACTTAGTGTGTTTTTTCCAAAATGTGTGTATATTTTTTATTGCTATTATGGAGTGAACGAAAAAGTTTTAAGGAAATTATGGAGCGCTCATAAAAATAATTTCATGATTTCACATTCATATTACTATTGTTATAAGTCAAGATAATCTCAAAAAATTTCTTAGTACATACCTACAATTGACAGCCCTCGTTTTTGTAGAGTAAGTAATTTAAGCGTATCTATTGGACAATTATGAATACGAGAGGATTTAAAAGTAAACAATTAAAAATATATACATGTAATGTACCTTAAACAATTTCTGTATTTAAATCCGCACAGCAAATTCGATACTACCCTAAAAAGTTCGTATTCCATTCCAATGCATGGAGATCCGATTAATGGAATAAATTCAATGGTCACAAAGCGTTTGATGACCAATTGCTATCTTGCTATGGTTTAAAATAACATTTTAATTGTTATCATTTTGATGAAAATTGAGTAGGTACCTCGTTGGGCGTCAGAAAATCGAGGGGACTCGAATTCTTAAGACAAATTATTATTGGGTTAGTAATATTACAAAACCTTGCCTAGCGTACGGCTACAACTGCTACAAGCCTATGGGGCTCATATGTAGTGTTACTGGTAAATGTGGAAGTTATTTTTACCATCTGCACCTCTGTCTACCCTTTTAAGAATAAATAAAGGCTTTTAGGCTTAATTTTTCCCAACAAAACTGTCTCGTGGTTTCAACATAATCGAATATTTTAACAGCTATTTTGCTTTCTATTTAATGGAGGAGGTTTTACGTCAAGTTCAAACTTTCCCCGATGACTCGGCATTTGAATGACAAGTCAATCCGAGTTACGTGATTTCTTTGACCTCTAGAGGTCAGGCTTGGCTCCAAACAAGTATATTAGGTAAGGACATGTTTTACATTTATGTAAACTTACGCTTTTACTTGGTGACTCGAGTGTCGTGTGGGTTGTTTGGTCGCGTCGTGAGCGCCATTGTCGTGTGAGAGTATAAGATCCTTGTTTGCTCGTTGGATAGAGATTTCTATTACGCAATTTTACGGTAGTACCAATTGTTTTGCTTTTCCTGGCTAGAAATAACTGTTGTACATTATTATAACAATAGTTTAAGACGTTTTGTCTCGATATTCCCACAGGATCGGAACTTAAACAAAGGAAAAGAGGATCGTTCGATTCCCGGGTCGGGCAAAGTATTACTGGGTTTTTAAAAATTCTCAGTAGTAGCATGGAGTCTGGAATTGTGCCCGGTATATGGCAATAGGCTCACCCCCTGTTACATGGGAGTCATAAAATAAATAGTGAAAAATGGGTGTTACATTGTACAGTGGCATTGTACCTCTGCCTACCCCTTCGGGGATAAAAGGCGTGAAGTCATGTGTGTTAATATTAATAGCTTACAAAACAAAAGATAAACATTGCCAGGTCAAAATACTGTGAGTTCTAATTCACTCTTACGTCAAGAAAGTTTAATATAAAAGTTTTAGTACCTCGGAGCGCGAGCCCAACCTTCTTAGTCGATATATAAAACCTCATTTGCTACGTTTGGATTCCCAAAAGGTTTGCATGAAAACAGAGGCTACTTGTACAGTAATAAAAGTGCTAAGAAAAATAATATCTAGATACTGTGGTCCCTTGTATAAGTATTATAACCTCGAGAGAAAACGTTGTAAATATAATTTTCATCAATATTGTAGTATATTTTTGTCTTTCCATTAGTGGGTATGAAGGGTATGAAGAGGTATATTTATATGGCACGCCATTTAACCCTCAAAATGTAGACAGAGGTGTAAAAGCGTGACCCAATATCGCTATTTACACAATCTAAAAGAAAAAATGTCGTGATGGCCCGGAGGTTGAAGACGCACGCTTCTCATGCATGGGTTTGAAACCTACCGACGCCAAGTACCAATGTGATTTTTTCCGAGTTATATGTACGTTCTAAGATTATTTAGACATCACTGACCAACAGTGAAGGGAAACATCGTGAGGAAAACTGGCTTATAATTTCCAATTATAAGTTTGAAATCGCCAACCCGCAATGAGCGAAGTGGTGATTAATGCTCAAACCTTCTCCGTGTGAGAAGACGCTTTGCTAAGCAGTGGGCATTTGTAGGCTGTTGATGATGATGATGATAAACCATACAAGCATTCATCTATGATATGGTGTGTATCGATAGCTTAAATCGCTTAAATACACTTTTAATCTTATGCTATTTTAAGTACCATAAAACAATTACACTAAATATACTTTTAGCAGTCATCCGCTATGTAACTCATAGGATTTCAAACTTGTCGCGGAGAACCTAACGGGTAACCGGGCCTCCGGCTCGACGTGCAGGAGAAGGAACGGGGTGGTTTTTAGTCAGTAAGAGTCTGACACTCCCTCCCGCCTCACCCAGGCGGGAGCAGTCATTCGATGATTTTCCCCCCTTAAAAAAAAAAAAAAGGATTTCAAACTTTACCAGCTAGGCTTTACAGATCCCTTTCCCAAAATGAAGTTTAAGTCTATTTTCGCGTTCATTAAATGAAAGGAAGGGAACTTTAAACTGATATGAATTTATATGACTGTCATAAACGTTAACTGAAGCTTCATCCAATGGATTAGGGCAAGAGATGTGCATTTTAATAAAAACTGATCACCAATTGAGACGGGATTATAAACCGTATTGCGTAGGTTGTAATGAAGATATTTGTGTAGAGGACTTTTGAAATTTGGAGTTTATTTAAAAGTACGACATTGATAGTAATTAGTTATCACTAAAATAAATACTAAGTATCACATTGCGTTTATATTATTTTTATAATAACTATCGTGAGACAGATGAGCAGCGTGCGCGGTCGCGGCGACGTCGCGCAACTCACTGAGCTCAGTGAGCCCCTCTGTGGTTCGTAACTAGTAGAGCTTTTCTCAGTATATTCACGTGAGTAACCCGCGATTTTAGTTAATTTTACGTCTATATTATAAGCCTTATTAAAAGTAAAACCAAAAACGTTGAAAAGAAGGCGAACATAATGTATATAGCATATAGCATAAGGAATAATTGAAGCACCAAAATGTCAGTGGGTTATTTATGTTTTTTTTAAAACGTTGCCCCACACTAGGATTTTCTCCTGTGTCGTGGGTGCGGTTACAAACATACAAGTTCACATACACATGACACCCAGACCCGGAACAACAATCTGTGGATCACACAAACAGTTGTTCCGTGCGGGAATCGAACCCGCGACACTTTGCGCGGCAGTCAGTTGCCCAGTCACCGCGCCAACCGTGCCATTTATGTGTGCGTGTGTAATGGGTTACCGCGTTACAAGAAATAATAAAATGACAGATGTCCTCCATGTCAATGTGTGTATGTTCTGCGTGTCAGTCTAGAGTAACAAGGTGCACAGTAGTTGTTTTAAGATACTGTGTCCGCTTTTTTTTCAATGTCCTTAAATAAAAGTAAAACAGCGCTGTTGTTGGAAAAGTCACCTTTCCAAAGATTTCAAAACTACTCGCCCAACTTGATACTCCTTGGTAGAGAGGACGCTGTCGAAATGAATCCTAACAATCCTACTATCCTACTTCCTACTAATACTATAAATGTTGCGAAAGTTTGTGAGGATGTATATTGTCCTAGCTACTTCCGGGCGGTTTCACACGCTCTGCTCAGCTCCTATTGGTCGTAGCGAGATGTTTTATAGTTTATAGCCATCCTCGATAAATGCGCTATCTAACACAAAAACAATTATTCAAATCAGACTTGTAGTTCCGGAGATTAGCGCGTTCAAACAAACAAACAAAAAAACAAACTATAAGACTGTATAAGATGTGTTTTGTGTGTTTGTAACACTTTCACGTCAAAACGGCTGAATGGATCGAGATGAAATTTGGAACAGGGGTAGATTATGGTCGGGATTAACACATAGGCCTACTTTTTAACCTACGGGGATGCCAGCGAAGTCGATGACAGAAGCTAGTCTTTAATAAATCCATTAGTTCTTAATTTTATTTTTACTACACTCAGTGTGGGAGAGCCATGCTTCGTCACGAATGGACCGGCTCAACCAGAGTTATCTGTGACGTCGTGGGATACCACGACCTCACAGAAAACCGACGAAGTGAAGCAAAGCGTTGTGTTTCGTCATGTGAGTGAGGTTACCGGAGGCCCAATTACCCTCCCCTTCCCCAACTTCCTCAATTCCTGAATCCCCAACGATCCTCAAACTCCTAATCCCCAAAAGGCCGGTAACGAACTGTAAAACCTTTGGTGTTCTAGGTGTCCATGGGCGACGGCGATTGCTTACCATCAGGCGATCCGTCTGCTCATTTACGGGCTTATGACATAAAAAAAATTCAGGTTCTATAACACAAATAATTTTGGTGTACGACCTAGAGACGCGATGTACCTAACCTTATGTCTAGTGGTACCTAGATATCTTTTCAATTTTTACTCTGAGCAAATTATTGTTATTGACTGACATTTAATCAAGTCTAATCAAGTCTCAGTGCCGACTCCAAAATGAACTGGGAAAAGAATGAAAGAAATTGTAACTCAGAATCAGGCTGAACTTTTTACAGGCTGGATTTCTTTTTAATTATTACTTTCGATCCCTTCAGCTAAAGTAAAAACAAATATTGGAACATATGAAAGTAATATTCATCGATCCTGTTAGTATAGATATTGATATTAATGGTCCGAAAGTTTCCATCTCTCGGGAGATGCGAGGCGTGGATGATCAACATTTATTAACGCGATATGGAATCTCTATTTATAACTAGCTGTTCCTCGCGATTTCATTCGCGTTACATATGAATTTTAGAACATATTTCTTTTGTTTCAATTTCCCAAAATAAAAGTAGCATATGTTACTCCTTAGTATATCAGCTACCTGTCAATAAACGTCTTGCAAATTCGGTTCTGCCATTCCAGAGATTAGCCAGTACAAACAAACAGACAGACAGACGATAATTGTAAAACATGTTATTTTGATATGTGTATCGTATATATATTCATATGCATATTTTAAACTGTCAAACACCAAGCGGTCACCGGTGACCGCAACCTATTGTTCTGTAATTGTATCTATAATGACGGTGCTCGACGATTTAAAAAGCGGTTAATTCAAATATTACAGACACTCCAATTTTATTTATCTGTAGATATAGATATATATATAGATGTAGCTTCGGTAATATTATGTTGGTCTATAATATATGTTTATTATGATGCCTGTTATTTTCTGTAAGATTAGGCACTGGTGTTCGCAACATGTACATAGACATAGGTATACATACAGTATTTTTCTATTATCTATTTTGAAGAAGCTCTGATCTATCCTAGGACTTTCTTATATGTTCGAAAATATACAATTCACTTATACGTCTCATCCAGACCAGAAGCACCGACTTGCGGATCATACTAAGAATAGTTTTGTGTGGGTATCGAACTTGAGAGATGTTGCATGCAGCCGGTTGTCCAGTTGTTGCGCCAACCATGTCGTCAATTAGGTACCTACTATTAACATCAGAGCCGTAAAAATACTCAATAATATAACATCACGCCTTTTATCACCGAAGGGGTAGACAAAGGTGCATATTACGTCACTTAATGCCACTGTATAATGTAACACCCACTTCTGTGACTATTTATGTTATGAGTCGTAATAGGGGGTGCGCCTATTGCCATATACCGGGCACATTTCCAGAATCCGTGCTACTACTGGGATTTAAAAGCCAGTAATACCTTGCCCCTTAATATTACTCATTAACTATTCACAATTTGTGACAAATTATCTACTAAATAAAACTGTAAATTCTATGAACTACACCTAGTAAGGTACACGCAGAACAATGTAATTTACTCAAAACATTTCATTACATTTACCTTACTTTAAACTCATTCAACAAAGTATTTGAACTTTACGACTGCCTCAAATACTTCAGTACGACAAAGTAAACGTCAGCATTTTAAATTCTTAAACAAAACACTGTCGGTAAATTTGTTGTGCAAATAAAAAGAAAAAATAATAAGTCACTCTTTTTAAATAACAAAATGTACAAATAGTGCGCTTTATATGCTTTTTTTTAAGGGGGGAAAATCATCGAATGACTGCTCACGCCTGGGTGAGGTGGGAGGGAGTGCCAGACTATTACTGACTAAAAACCACCCCGTTCCTTCTCCTGCACGTCGAGCCGGAGCCCCGGTAACCCGTTAGGTTCTCCGCGACGCGCTTTATATGCTAGGTGCGCTAGCTATTGCCCGCAACTTCGTCCGCGTAGCATATCGTACCTCCGGTGCTATAACGTCACTTATGTATTGCGGGGGCCCGCGCGCAACTGAAAAATGAAACGTTGTTTCGCCTAGTGTCGTCCAGATTAGCGCCAAACCCGTAACGACAGTAATGCCCTCACAATGTCAGTTTGCTTACTACACAAATGACAATAAATAACGCACCAAGTAAAGAGGTGAATTTGGAGTATTTTTTCAGTTTTTCAGTTAAGATTTGACAAAAATTGCATAAGTGACGGTATTGCACCGTAGATGCGATATGAATTTTCGGACATAACTTTCTTTTTCAACAATTTTCCACAACACACTACAACAAACTATCTTTATCTGTATCTTTATCTTTCTAAAATAAAAGTAGCCTATGTTTCTCAGTTCTCCTTACTGCACCATTTGCAATATCGGTCCAGCCATTCCAGAGATTAACCAGTACAAACAGAACAGACAGACATATATTATTATTATTATAGTATGAAATAATAAGAAAATGTCATTTTGGCATAGATATAATAATAATAATTTCTGTTATTAACAGACACTCCAATTATATGTACCTGTTTAAATGTCTTGATTATGGTTTTATTTAATAAACGAAAGAAATGCAAGCGGAGTTAATTTAGCATTTAGCTGGCTAAAAATCGCACAAGTTATTTTCATAAATATTGGGCAGTATTCCATTTCATGCCAGCTACTAAGAACTATTAAAGAAAAGTAATCTCATCATGTATTTCCCCGAACAAGGAATTGAATCCCTGACCCATTACGTGCACTCATTATGTCGCTGCCAATGATATAGTTTGACACAAACAGTTAAACAGACAAATTCCGTACATTTGTATACTTAATGCCGTAAAGACGAAGAAAAGCGATGGGAAACAGCAGCTGCCTGCGCTTGTTTAGACAGCAGTTGAACCTAAACCAATCTATCAAACTTTTTATTAGGGATTCAACTTTAACATCTTTGAAATAAAGTCCAATATAGTATTAACAGGTACGGATAGGTTGATATGCTAATGTTTCTGCTTAGGTACACCGATACATCGTGCGAGCATTCGTCACGTTGACTGACGTTCAATTACTGAGCTCAGGCTTACGCAAAGGTCACAGATACCTGCTCATCTAATGAATGGAGTGCATTGAGCAACCCTGGCGACTGGTGACATACTGGCTCAGTCTTGGAGACTTAACAAGGACGATGTTTAAGAAATATGACTTGTTTATCCATTGGGATAGAATCATTGTTGTTGGTTTTTTGGAGTACTATGTACAAACCCCCAAAAGGATAGGAAAAGAAGGGCCTATTACCTAAATGCCGACCCACTTCACACTAGTTGACAAAAATAAGTGAAATAGGCTTTAAGGAATAAGTAACGTGTCGTTTACAGATTTTTATCGCAAATTAAATGTTGAGGGATTGGGGTTCAAAGAAAAGATGGATGGGATTGTTAGAAAAGTGATACAAAAAGGGTTGGAATGAAGTAATAGAGTAAAGAGGAAGGGAATTGGTAAAAGTAATCGAAACGAGACCGCGTAAGACACTCTGATTGGTTGTTCCATTGGAGCCGGCCAATCAGAGTGCCGAATGCGGTCTTGTTTCGATTACCTACTTTAAACGTAAAACAAATTCGTGCTTAAGGTCTCTGTTTACCCAAAGAAGGGATATGAAATAAGACATTTTGTATTAAATAGTTGACCACAAAGAAGAACACTAATCACATTTCTTCTCATTAAAAAATAACCAAAAATTGTCTACCAGAATAAAGATTTATTGACCCGTCATTTTGTTCCATTAAAACCTAAACTTTAAATTATTTGACTGCTTCTAATAATCCAACTATAAATATCCGTATTTACTACCGCTTATTATATTTCATTTATTGTATTTGGTAGCCTTTTTTACATCATGTACCACTACAGGTACTAAAGAATAACAATATATTAAACTTAGTCCACAATTCTAATCATCTTGTCTCTCCTACAGAGTCGACTGATGCTAGTAGGAGAGTGCGTACCAGCATCATGCGACATCAGCGCCCTCACCACCATACTCGGCGCCGCAGAACGAGCAGCCGCTGCGCAAGCGTCGGACTCCGGCCTTCTAGCATCATTCTCCACCGTCAAAGTGCGACCTGTGCCCGGGGATTATGACTTATTCGCTGATCCTAAACTGCAGATACTTGGGTAAGAACATAGATAAGTCATTTGACGACACTTTGATATCAAGTCAACCGTAACCCAATTATAAGTTTGTAATCGCCAACCCGCAATGAGCAAGCGTGGTGATTAATGCTCAAACCTTCTCCGTGTGGGAAGAGGCTTTGCTCAGCAGTGGGCATTTATAAGCTGTTGATGATGATGATGATGAGGTTTCAAATCCTCATGCATGAGAAGCGGGCGTCTTAAACCTTCTGGATACCACGACCACATCCCGCTTCACCAAAAGCTAATAATTAGGTCTTTTTGAATACGATTGCGATTAAAAGTTTAATTAAAAAATGTAATTAATTTTTTATCTATAACGAACCTTTGTACCATGGGGTTTGAAACGACATATCGTAGTTTTTAATCCTTATCCTGACATACTTCTCTATCATCCATTATATTTTAGATGGTGAGGGGTCGTGTCCAGAGAGAAGTAAATAAATCGAGTACTAATTAATACACTTTTAATTTCTGACTCCAATTAAGGTTACATACAATTTAGTACGGTCACAATATTTAGTAGCGTGCGTCTGTAGTGCGATATACGGGACAACTGGAGAGGCGAACACAATACAAGTACAGTGTGAACAATATTGATGCGTCAACAATTAGAGTAGGTCCCACTACAATATTAAGGCACCTACCTATATCCCTGGAAATACATACATTGATAGATAACATATCATTAACTAATGACAGTGCCTTCTAATTTAGTAGTACCTAATCAAATAATTACATCATTATACGTATGTATGTATGTATATGAAGAGCCACGTATATAATTAATTAGTTCAGTTCACTGTGGCTGACGTATTATCTATTTATGTAAATCACATTGCCGGGCTCCTAGATATATTACATGTCAATGCTTAGTTTATACATTTACATAGCAGATAACTTAATTGTAAATATACTGAGAATTGTATTTAAAGAACTGGTTTGTTGGTCGAGTGTTCGCAAGTGCGACTGCCGGACAAGAGGTCTCGGGTTCGATTCCCACGCCAGGCAAAGTATTACAGGGTTTTAAATAAAATTCTCAGTAGTGGCACATAGTCTGTAAATGTGCCCGGTATATGGCAATAGGCTCACCCTTTAGATGAGACTCATACATAATATAAATAGTGAAAAGTGGGTGTTACATTGTACAGTGGCATTAGTGCCGTAATATGCACCTCAGCCTACCGCTTCGGGGTAAAAGGCGTGATGTTACGTATTAAAAAAAATGCATAGTAAAAACTCATTGATACTTTGCTTGACCTAAATTCAAAATAAGGCAATTGGTACAAACGGTTTTTTAAATAATAAATACTTAATTTCGACGCATTTATCCTTCTACAATCCACATTCATACCTAGATCAATTATTTTAACACACATACAATTGCGAAATTCAATTAAAATAATTTAGAACAAAATTAGACTTTGCACAAATAGACACACGTGCTAATCTTGACCTGAATGCGAACCTGCAAAGGCACGCATCGCGTAATTTTACTAAATAATGAATAGAAGGTTTCGAATGTCATACATTCACTTGTTTTCAGGCTGCATTCAAAAGCTAAGGTCACCTTGTTTCTATGGAATAGCTAAGTAAACGAGCAAACAGATGGTAAGCCAGCCAGTCAGCGCCACCCCGGGCTCTCGTAACACCAGAGTTGTTACATATGCGTTGCTGGTATTTCGGGAATAGGGACGGGATTGATCCTCCAGTAACCTCACTTAGACGACGCAACTCCATACAAGCGCGTTAATTCTTCATTCGGAGCTACGGACGACTTAACGGGTTACAGGAGCTCAAAACTACTAGGAACAGTGCCTTTCGCCAAACGCCATTTCAGCGCTTGTCTACAGAGAGAGTAGAAAATTATGTATGGGAATGACACTGACAAGTGTCAAAATTTACGTCAATTTCATATAATTAGGTTTTCTATTCTACATGTAGACAAGCGCTAAATGGCATTTGGCTACAGGCCCAGGGTGGTGTTTAGTCAATAAGATTCTGACCTCTCGCTTCACACAAGGGCCTTTAGACAAATGCTATTTTAGCGCTTGTCTACAGATAGAGTAGAAATCAAAATGTATGGGGATGACATTGACAAGTGTTAAAATTTACGTCAATTCCAAATAATTTGGTTTTCTATATTACTTGTAGACAAGCGCTAAATGGCATTTGGCTATAGGCCCAGGGTGGTGTTTAGTCAATAAGATTCTGACCTCTCGCTTCACACAAGGTGGGATAATTCAGTGGATGATTTTCCTCCTGACCCAATTTTTGATCTGGCCCTTTTGTGGCGAAGCATAATGAGGTCTTGCATATTAAAAATTGCAAAACAACCATGACACTATATTCATATGATTTATGGCTAAAAAACATATGCTGAAGAGGCGTCAGAGGAAGATATATTATTCACCAGAGGCGTTTAGCAATCTCCTCAGTTATTAGAGTCACGTTTGTCATACAAGGTCACGCTTTTATTCCAAAGAAAAGGCACTAAAGTTCAATTTCGTGTGAACACGCGTACACTATTTTTGGTCTTTGTCACTGGAATGAGAATGCAGACTGTGCAAGCAATTACAGTTTTTGTGCATGTAAATTGAGCTTATGGTTTTCTGTTTTGTAAATGTTAGGTTGTGGACGCTGCTGTGTTTCATCAATTTATCGATAAAAGAAGTCTTAAATATTTGCAAAGCAATCAATTATTTCATTTAATTCCAATGACTATGAATAACCTTAAATTAGGTATTTATTTTTTATTTTTGTATTGATCTATAGTCCAACATGTTTTATCACGTAGACCTAACTATAATTGTTGGAATATTATAAGTGCGATATGGTTTGTTTTTCTTTTACATCACTATGGAGAGATTTTGTGAAATGTATTTCGTGTCTGGGGACTTTATTTTATGGAGACTGCAACTACTTTTTTTTATTTCACCACGCAGACGAAGCCACGACTAGTCATGTAGTTTCATACATATTGATACGAAACGAACGTGAATATCGAAAACCGGTCTAGACTACCAAGAGCATCATCGTTAGGTTATCGACAATAGCGTCTCACCACAACACTATCCAGCAATTTCGCACGTACCTAGAAGTGTGAGATGCCAAAATACTGTAAAACAAGGTTCTGAACGTGTGCCAAGAATCTTGTTAAACCTCCTCTGGTACATACTTGCATGGTAACAAGTGCTTGGAGGCTGTTCAATTTTAAATCTCATTACAAGTTTCACTAACAATGTCATTAGATTTGCCTCAAGATTTTCTTGAAACTCGGACACAGTTTTTGAGTTATTAGATTACTCAGTGATGGACTTGTGTGACGAAGATAGAACAGGAATTTATTTTTCGTGAGTTGAAGAGACTTTAGCTTAAATTTAGAAAAAGGCGAGAGTAATGTTAATATGTAGTTGAAAAGGTTGTGTTGAGCACTTATCCAAAAAAGCTACGAATTGAAGAAGGAATTATGTCACCTGAATATCTTTTTAACGTAACGTTAAAATAACGTTAGAGAATCTATCACAGCCATTCTTAGGGAGACCTTACAACAAGAACTTTAACAGGACAAAGTCAAAGTCAAAGCATTTATGTCAATTAAACCATAATTTGGTACTTTTGAAACGTCATCAAATACAAAATAAATAATAGCCTGTCAGTCAGTCCGTCAGTGAAGCTAGGTGAAGCTAGGTGCATCTTCATCTCAAGTGACATCTTTCTAATACTAATATTTTATTCCAGATCAGTGATGACCATCGTACTGACCCTGATGCTGTTCGCTTCCCTGTACGAGGGCTACCTGGAGCGCAAGTACCGGCTGGCCAAGGAGACCAGGGACCTGGAACTGGCCCACGACGGCAACGCCAACCATAAGCAACCTGTTGGTACTTTCGTTTATAATATTTTTCTTTTAACAGGCATATTGTCTATGGTAGCAGTAAAGGTATATTTCCTATAATTGGAAAGGAAGCTATTAGCAACTGCTTTAATCCTTGAGACGAAATATATATATATTTCTAATCCGAACTAGGTAGCGGAAACAATATACAGAGAATAAATATTTAATATCATGACCTATTTAAAGTTTTAAAGATTTACTTGGATTTACTATGCCTTACTCACGAACCATATAAATCATAGCCTAAAGCTATATCGGAATACGGTAGTTGACAGATGGTCAAATTTAATAATTTTATTGAAATGTCAAAAACGATACTTTTCTATGAATTTTGTATTAGACGTCATCATATTTCTGCGTCCAATAGCATACTTATTACCTTAAAATTAGCGAGAAAATATCCAAAAGTAGGTAGTATATTGTCAAATTAATAGACGAGAGTATGATTATTTTTTTTTACTTATTGCATTGAAAAGTTGAAACAATTTATTTTAAACCTAGGAAACTGGCCAGTTATGAATACCGTGGAATTAGGAAAAAAGCTGGAAAAACTCTCTTTGACCATTGAGCATGTAACACAGAACAAAAAACAAATACACAAAGCTGTTTCAATTTAACCTTTCTGGTTGATTGAGCATGGCTTGTAACAACCGTAGGTCGGTCGGTCTCATCCCAGGGGCGAAAGGGCTACACACAGTCAACGTTTCCGTACAAATTAACGAATTAATTTGCAAAAAACAAACGTGTTAAATGTACAAAAATAAACACGACCGTGCCCTGTGGTCGACGAAACGTTTGTGACATTGTATGTAAAAAGCGGCCGATTTAAAAAAAAACGTCCTATAACTCTATTCAAAACTGATAAAATGAATTATCAGTCTGTCTTTAATACAGTTATAGGACGGTTTAAAGTACAAAGCCTTTTAAGTTATATTTATAACTAGCTTCTTCCGCGCGGTTTTACTCGCTCTGCTCGGCGCCTATTAATCGTAGCGCGATATTTTATAGCCTATATCCTTCCTCGATAAATGAGCTATCCAACACAGAAAGAATTCTTCAAATCGGACCAGTAGTTTCGGAGATTAGCGCGTTCAAACAAACAAACAAAAAACAAACTCTTCAGCTTTATAATATTAAAGTACAGATATACATTTTTGCCTAACACGTGCCTGCAATCTATATAAATGTTTACCTTCTCTTGTCTAATATTAAAAAATAACGAGTATCTCTATGTGCTTCTGTTCCTATGCGAAATTTCGTAATGCTATTGTCAAGTGAACTGTTAAGTATAGTTTGTTATTAAATCTGATCTAGATACTATCACAACCATTACATCGTCATTAGGTGCATTTTATAGAAAAACCGTTGCTTATAGGCCAAGTATATCTATGTTAGACATGCTTATGTTAGTAGCGTTGAACATAATCGACCTGTGTAACCCGAGGCATCGCACCAACGTAGCTGACCGAACCTTTTGTTGCCAACTTGCCATACAATATTTTATTGTCATATTTCCCATACAACACCGACCATTCTCCATATGACCTTTTTTTTATTTCAATTAATGTCAGCTGAAGTTTTGGCACGTTATTATGCCAGTAGAATGAAATTTTGAATTAATTATGAATATCTAATTAAATTGTCTTGTACTCGACTCTGTCGCAATCAGTAAATCAAACAGAGATTAGCTGGAATTATAATTTGAATTATGTTTGAGAATGGTATTGTTGCAAGATCAGTCTTGTAATTTAAGTTTTGGTTTTTTCATTGATGTTTTACTATTTGATTAATATACAAACTTAGATAAAATAAATATTAAATATATACAACTTATGATAAAAATTAAATAAAGACAACTAAAAATAGCTATTTAGGTACACAAAGCATCGAAAAATTCGTCCGCATCGACGTCAGTGGGGAAAGTACACAGAAGGTATACAGAAGGCTGGCAGCATTGGCACGTTTTATGGCAATGCGTAATTTCTGATCGAGAAAAAGACAAAAGTTTTGTTTTATTATTTACTATGTTTTTATTCGACGTCAATTTAAGACTATGCTAGGAGCTTGTACTAGTCTAGTTTCTCGTTAAACAGGTAGGTGAGATTAGGCAAAAAACAAAATAATTATTTGGTATGTCTCAAGAAAGTTACATGGCCAAAAACTTGATGATGGTCGCTGTCATTAACTTCGTTTCATCATTAGGCATTTCAAAAATGAACAAGTCAGCAGCTGTAGCCAAATGCCATTTAGCGCTTGTCTATATGTAGAATAGAAAACCAAAATTATATGGAATTGACATAAAATTTGGACACTTGTCAGTGTCATTCCCATACATTTAGTTTTCTACTCTCTCTGTAGACAAGCGCTAAAGTGGCGTTTGGCTAAAGGCCCAGTAGAAACCGCGCAATGAGAACATATAGATCTCTAGTTTCCAAAAAATGTAAACTTCCTTAAACAACAATATTTTAAAAAAAGTCTCTTAATAAATATTGTAAAATGTGAAGTAGAAAATATTCCTTATCATCTGTTAATGGGTTCGTTATTATCACAGCGGCATCGCGTCAGAGGATACGGATGTAAGGGAAAAGCAACATGGACTCCCGATTAACGGCACAGATAATACAAGGGCTGCGTTAATTGAATACGCCATTTTGAGTTTATTTACGTTTCTTGCATTTTAGAAGCAAGTTGTTTTATTTATCTTGTATAGTTGGGATTTAAGTTAAAGTTAGTTTAATGACTGTTTTATTTTATTAAGTCTTGGTTATAAAATGCTTCGGTAATTAGAAATGTTTGTTCACGTCTCTACCTAGTATGTTATAACTATCAGAATGATTTGTATGGTCTATAAATTATTGGCTCTGTTTAAAAAAAAACTATGTTTTTTATTATAGTACTAGGTACATGAATTGATAACACTATTTATCTTTATCAAATAATTAAAATAACGCTTTATATTTGAGCGTAATATTACATTTTCGCAATATAGGTACCTACGTAAACTAAATAATACTGTCATTAAACTATTTACCGTCAGCATTTTTGACGACATTTTTTTTCTTAAAAAAAAAAGATGTTGATGTTATAAAATATGTCATACGACATACGATTTAAGGTTCATACCTCTATATAAATGACAATGACTTTGCTGGGTTGGAGCCGTACCTGAGCCGTGTTTTTTAGATGTATTCACCTAAATGGTGTAATCAGTTTGTTTCCATGTAAATGATTGGCAATCCTTCTTAACCTTTCTTTTACAATACTGTCTATGTAATATCTCCTATCCGATGTTCCCGTGTGAATGGTTAAAGAGGACGTACCATTGTCTAAGTCTATTCTCATGAAGTCACGATATTTGCAGGCCAATAACAATGTGGCGGTCGATGGGAAGCCAGTGCCCACGGACAATGGAGATCGAGACCTTCGGCGGGAAACTTGCGGTGAGTATCTAATGAGTTGTAGTGGTACGGGACAATAGCTATGTATGGACCTTTGTAAACAATATGATGAGAACAATATGATTTTGTTTTCGGAAACTTACGTTAAATACAATTAAGGACATGAGTTGTAAAGGTTGAGGAAAATGATAGGTATGATAAGAATATATGTTCCGATGTCCGCGATAGTCATTGAATATTTTAATGTACCTGAGGGGGCAGAGATAGGTACTCATCAGATGTAACATCAAATTTACTGCACCGTCGGCGCGGCGGCTGCGCTACAAGCTGCCGCGCAATGTTTAGCGGGTTCTATTCCCGCACGGAGCAGCTCTTTGTATGATCCACAAATTGTTGTTCCGGGTCTGGGTGTCATTGAGTATGTGAACACAGGTGTCACGCCAGGTTGTAAGTGCTAGCCTCTTTTAAAATTACCACCATTTGCAACACCCCATGATACTTTGCCCGACTTGAGAATCAAATCCGAAACCCCTTGGTTGGTAGTCTACAACCAATCGACCAATGAGGCACTCAGAATAAATCTCAGATATTAATTAGTAGGATAATGAAAAATACACGTTCTGATGGTCACAAACAATGAAAACTCAGACAAAAGACTTGGACGACGTAGAGACCCTAGTTATTTGCTTTCAAGTAAACGAAAATATATCAAAAGATAATTAAACCTAGCCACCTATAATTACAAAAGAATATAATAGATTCTATAAACGATAATGGGTCACGTAAATTATTGTTTATTGCATTCTTGAAAGATATTCTTCTCTTATCTTCTTGAAAGATAATGAAGTTCTCAGCGCCTAATCGATACAATACACGTAGAATAATTGCCACATTTGTTTTTAGCTACATATTTTAGAAAATAACAATGTTTTTGACTGCCTCATTGGCCAAGTGGGCGCAAGTGCGACTGCTGGTCAAGAGGTCTCGGGTTCGATTCCCGGGTCGGGCAAACTATTACTGGGTTTTTAAAAATCTCAGTAGTAGCACGGAGTCTGGAAATGTGCCCGGTATATGGCAATAGGCTCACCCCCTATTACATGGGACTAATAACATAAATAGTTAAAAGTGGGTGTTACATTGTACAGTGGTATAATGTGTGTGCACCTCTGCCTACCCCTTCGGGGATAAAAGGCGTGATGTTATGTTATGTTAACAATGTTTTTTAAAACCATTACCAAAACTTAGAAATAATAAAGAGTATTTAACATCTCTTGACCGATAAACAGACGTAATGTTACTTGATTATTGTGATAAGGAAAGCCAATAACTTGAATCATTTACACCTTATAAGACAATTGAGAATGCAAGAAAAATTTCGTACGTAGGCAACTAAACTTTAAATTTACTGAATAAATATTCCCTTTTCTACTTTTATGTCCATTGCATTCGCAAAACCTCTGTATAGATATACTGTAGCCAGCCGTGGAACTGGAAACCTATAATTGGTTTTGTATTAGCATAAGTATCCTGAATTTTTATTCTTTGTAATATAGCTGTTTGTTACCCAAATTGAAATAAATAATTAAATAAATTAGAAAAAGTTATGCAAAGAAATTACCCACCTATTCGAAATGAACTAAGAAGCGAACTTTCCACTTTGCCCGAACAAAGTATAGACCTATGGAAAAAATCAAGGAACTCTTCATACCGTTGAGAAAATAAACTTCATAAGCCTACAATTAAAAAGTTTGGCTTCAAAGTCTTGAGGTCAGAGAACAATCGGTAAGAGGTGAAAGAAGTACCTAAACCAAGCTATAGCAACCAGTATAAACTGAATTCTGAGCTTGCGGAAAGACCACACAAAGCTAGACCATGATAAAATGAATGTGTAGATTGACGTGCAGCTAGGCGTACCTTTACAAACAGTTTACGAAGTAAAATGGCCGTCTTTGTGTTCAAGTCTACATGCATAATTAATATAGGTTATTTACATAGTAAGGAATCATTAGATTGGCTACAGTACTATTGGAGACACTTTTTTGATCATGTGCTTGTGTACTGTAGATGTGTTTAGAAGATACCTTATGAAGCCATAAATAGGGTTCAAAATATGTCGCGCTTCTACGAAATTTCACTAACGAGACACAAGAACTGAAGTTTGTGTTAATATAACATAACATCACGCCTTTTTATCCTCGAAGGGGTAGGCAGAGGTTCACATTTCGGCACTTAATACCACTGAACAATGTAACACCCACTTTCACTATTTATGTTATGAGTCCCATGTAATAGGGGGTGAGCCTATTGCCATATACCGGGCTTTATGTTAATTTTTTAATATATAATAAACTACACCACTGTATAATCTTCTCAAATCACATTAATGTATTGTATATTAATAACTACAGTGAGTAGAAACATGAAGGAAAGATTATATTCCCCTGGACCTACAAAGTGAACGTAGCAATATAATCGTTTACTCGGTAAATTAAACATAGTCTTCATTTCCACGGATTGGGAATAAGGGAACATTGAGTTTGTAGTAAGTAGTAAATGATAATGTAGTAGAATATGATACCTGTTTTATCCCAAGAGGAGAGCATTTAATCCTGTCTGTATACTAAATTTCATCAAAATCCGTTCAGTAGTTTTAGCGTGATTGACGGACAACGATCAAAACATAAAATTTTCATATTTAACCATTCATGTGAAGGTGATTATAAATTAAGATAGAAGTTAAACTGTACAAGAAAGAAAATGAATTAAAAATTATGTTCGCTTAACAGAAAATAATAGTACTGGAACTGAAATGTAGAACAAATTTTCAGACAAGCTTGTAAAAATAGAGGTTCATAGTGCCAACAGCCTGTTAAGTAACTTAAGTACAGACTCAGTAATGTTCATGTTGAAGCCTAAGTAAGTTGTACAAGTAAGGCGGACATTAAGTTGACTGTGACGACATTTCTCTTGAGACAACCATTCACTTAATGAGAATTAGACTAAATTTTAGCTTATGCGACTTAGTATGCCAGTCTTATTATACCGCTGTTCTAGTTACAACCATCGCAGTAAAAACTCCAAAGTAGGTAATCCGCGTTTTATGATTATCTTCAATCCACAAAATCATTTTCTCTTTATATCACAGAAGCGTGTCGTAAGATATAACAGTGAATTTCTCAAACAATGTGATTCAATAGAGTCCCGATCTATTGTTTGAATGGGAGCTCTTTAAAATAGACAGCAAAGCAAAGACTCAATAAATCGCAAACAGGAATCAAAGCAATGACTGTGTTGTTGCGAACTTTGAAGTAGGAATCCTTTAGTAAAACTTATCTTTATTTCATTTGAAGTTCTTTTCTGTATTCAGGACTATGGGCGGAGGTGTTGTTATCGTTTTCCATCTTGTCGAACGGGCGCACGATCCTCAGCACGGACCCTCCGAACGACGGGGCCCTCACATGTCTTCACGGAATGAGGTACGTTTATTTTGTTACCGAACTTTTTTCTTATTTAAGTACAGACGCCTGCATGTCAACCTACTCATTTTTCAAATTTCTGTTTTAGATTATTCACTTTATTGTTTTGATATAAAGTCGACAATGCAATGAAACATTTTGATAGATTGTGGTACGTTGACACGAAGGCCACTGTACATATGAATGTAAATGTTTCAATACAGTCTCGATGATTTTGTTTTACGTCGTCATGTCAGCTATCTCAATTGGTATTGTATAGAAGTCTACAAAGTGCTCGTTGATCTAAAGTATTTGCACTAAACCCTGATTGAAGCTTCTTCTGATGTTCTGTTGTTTAGTTTTACGTGCCTATGATTGGATTTTGGATCACAATCGCTTCTAAAAGGGATGTTCAATATGTTCCTAGTAAATTTGAACTATAGTTAATCTGTAGAAGGATCGTTATTATATAAAGTAATCAATAGCCTTAATAGCTAGTTATGGGCGGTTAACGAAACTTAATTTAACTTTAGGAATTAGTTTTATTTTAACGGTTAGTAGAGTTTTAGAGCTTCTATTACCTATAGCCCAAATACGGATAATAAACCTTTAGCCCTGTTACTAAGGTTAGACCGTAAACTATAATGAGTATAAATACAAAAGAGTTTCGTATCGAAATGAAAATTTGATTACTTCTTTTGATCTTCGTTTTCCTTTTTATTGTTGTTCCATTAATTACAGAGAGTGCCAGCAGCTGTTTTATAAGTGGAGTGAAAAAAATTTATAGATACAAGATTAATTGAAGTCTCGTTTTTAGCGATGGATATAGATTAATGGCTTCCATTATCCTTTTTGTCTGGGACGAGGAGTAAGGGGCAGAGGTTTTTTGTTAATCGAATTTTCCGTTGGGTAACAAGACCTAGGTATAATGTAGGCCCATTTGGTAGACCTTAAGGCAAATATGGACAGAATTAATTACGGGAAGAAACAGATAGTTCATTTTATTATAGTAGTCGTTTTTAAGAGTGCGGTGGGCAGTGTTTTTCTTAAAGATGGGCATATTATAGTATAATAATAGGGTAGTTGCTAGGGTATGCCAATTAAAAAAACCTAATTTGTCCGTCAGTTAGATAATGAAAAAATATAAAACAGGTATTTTTTATTTAGTCATATAAAGTTACAATACAATAAGTTATGCAGTTAAGTTTAATATAATTAATATATCGTCGAAAGTTAATTTTGTGAGAAAAGAAAAAATATATGTCTAATGTTTTAAATTAATCTACCAGACGGACATTAAAATAACATTTTGAAAACAACCCAAATATAACTATGAATTTGTTTGTGTTATTCTTACTAACGACCATGGCTAAAAAGTATAATAAATAAATAATTTGTTAGTACATAATAAACAAAATTCTTGTTTTGGCAGATTCATGTCAGTGATTTGGGTGATAATGGTGCACACATACCTGACGATATTCTACGTGGCTGACAATAAGACTATGCGGGTGATCACAGAACGCAACTTCTGGTACCAGTCCGTTGGGAACGCATCCTACTGTGTGGACACCTTCTTTGTTATCAGGTAAAGTATCTAATATATGGTCTACCGACCTACAATAACAATTTGTTAATGTAATAGATTTTCTACTTAGGTGAGTTGGTAATAAAGTTCAAATTGTATTAACAAATTTGGATTAATAGGTAAAGGTAGGTGTACACGGGCGTATATGTCGGTATGTGTACTTCACCTCGGGAAAGTTTTTCTGTTGGTGAGTGTAAGAGCGTAAAATATTAAAACAGATATTCTGATAAAGGTTTGTTAGTAAGTAGTAGTAGTAGTTTGATAATACACAGTATGTTATACTTTCTAAGCACGTTTTCGTGTTATTTCTTTGCATCTACATAATATGTTTGTTTGTAAGATATCTATTTAACATTATATTCTGTTTCACTATTGTAATTAGATTGTTTTAAACTGTAGTATATTGAATTAACTTAAAAGTCGCGGGTTACTCACATGAAAATACTGAGAAAAGCGTCCGCGCACGCTGTCCATGAGGAAGAGCCCCTCTAAGACTCGAAACTAGTAGAGCTTTTCTCAATATACTTACGTGAGTAAAATATCATTTTAGTTAGATTAATTGTCATTACTATTTGGCTTTACTTACGCCACACACGTAAACATCATTAGAAATGAGAACCTGATAAAAGATGTTCAAACGAGTTCAAGATTACATAAATTGCACTTAACATTTACATAACAATATAAACTGGGTTCATTTAATATTATATCTTACTAAACATTGGCCTTGAATAGAAGTAGAAAGTAAACAATTTTAAATATTCATAGGTCGACGTAATTTCCATATAACCGTATCTATTTATTTATATAAAACTAAGTTGTAATAGTTACACTGTTTGTAAGTCAAGAACGATTTATTTGAGGTTCATGATCTTGGTTTTATAATAACTATCGTGAGACATACTAAATTAAGTAAAAACGCGGGTTACTCACGTGAATATACTGAGAAAAGCTCTACTAGTTTCGAACCACAGAGGGGTTCTTCCTCATGAGCAGCGTGCGCGGTCGCGGCGACCAGTATATTCACGTGAGTAACCCGCGTTTTTACTTAATCTTGGTTTTAGTTACGCTTAAAATTAAAGAATAGATTTATTAGTATGGATAATACTGGCACGGCAGAGTGGGTAGTAACAGTCGTGTAATCTGGGCCTATCTGACGAACCGGTGCGTCATTTACCCCGGTCACCGAGATGACCGCCTCAAAGAGCAATCAGACCACCACTAATGGAGTCTAGTAGTGCTGATGTCGATACGGAACTGCGGACTGAAGGACTTAACGGGTCGCTGGGGCTCCGGCTCGAAGCGCACGATTAGGAACGGAGTTGGTTTTAATCAGTAAGAATGTGACACTCGAGAAGTCATTGCATAATTAGCCTTCCTCAAAAAAAGGGTAAGGTAGGTAGTAAGAGTAAGATTTTAATTTGCGGTGATCTAGCTGCAATCTCCAAGTCGCTAGCCAGGCTTGCTGATTAAGATAAACATGACTAGGTGGTGGACAACGAAGGGCCATGAACGCTGAACCACACAATATGCGCTACCCAACGCATCGCTTCTCTGTAAATGAGGCCTTAGAGACAATTTTCAAAATATTACAACCCTACGCAAGTTTAAAACAGAGCAGGCAGTAAATTTAATTGTTAATGAAATTACTACCCCTGTTCATCCTTTTGGGATAAAAAGCGTCTATTATTACATAGTAATTGAACCCCGAGGTTCCTAGAAAACTTTTTCGATTTTCTGAACATAAAAGTACTTGCCTACCCCATTTTATACCTTTTTAGATTTAAAAATAACGGTCTACCTGTTCCATTAAACGGGTTCAAACGTTTAGCTGCGAACTTGTAAAATGAAATCTTTTACCTTGTATTTCGGACTAGATGCTAAATTCTGCCAGATTGGCAAAATTTCTAAAAATAGACTAGCAAAGGTTTTATACTTTCGTGGTCTATTTTTAGTTTTTGAAATATAAACGGATATTTGTAGGCATTCTTGAATGTTTTCTAGATATGGACTAATTAATCTCGTTCTGGGTACCTACTTAACTATAGTCGATTTTAAAATATAAAAATCTCAGTTTTTCACATGGCAATTAGTTCTATAACGGCTAAAACGCACGGCTGGAAAATTAATTAAATATACGATTAATATATCCTTTATTTATCCCAATATTTTAAACCAAATTCCAATTACGGTTGCTATTCTATTTTTGTATTTGCAAAAACGTTTAAATTGTGTTAGCCGTGTCCGATACAAATTGACAAGTAACAAATAACTCAATTACTATTTTTGTGTACGCGTAAAATAACAAAGCGTATACAATAACAGTGTATCGTTACTAAATTCTATTATTGTGTTTACTGTTCACAAAGCTTGTCAAAACATAAACTATATACATAGTTATATAGTTATAATGAAATTGTTATAATAACAAGGTTCAATTTATTTGGGCAGTTCGAGTTCGTTTGTTTTTCCTTGTATGTGACAACCCTAGTAAGGTAGCGTGTACGAAGGTGAATTGTTACGTCGCGTAAAATTGATGAAAATGGAAAAAAACGGAACTCTACAGCAATGTAATTAAGGTACAAATTGTTCGAAATTTATGATTACATGTAAATATGTTCCTAAATGAGTGCCATCAGAATGTGGTGAGTTGCTATATTTAACACATTAAACGCCATGGGGGTCACCGATGACCGGCGTTAGCGGAGGATTTGCCTTCAACAGTTTTTATTGGCAGTAAAAGTCTTAACTGTCGGTGTTAGGATTTCAAGGTAAAGATGTCATTGACCTCTAACATTTCCTAAAAAATCTCTCTCGATAGCCGATGGAACGACCTAAAAGGGTCCTACATTACTTTAATAGTGATCAATTTCCTTTAAACGATCCCTCTCAATAACCTTTGTTAGCATCAACTGACTCGTGCGATCCTTCACTAAAATAGACCCGAACATAAGTCTCAAGTAACCAATTCTCATTTGTTACAGCGGAATACTCGTCACAATTTTATTTTTACGGACGGAAGATAAAAAGTCTGCGAAAGCTGACCAGCAAGATAAACAGGACATCAACAAGAATCTCAACGGCTTCAGTAATTCCGCACTTTCCATCTCTGTGATAAGCCAACAATCTTTTAAGGAGGATTTATTAGACAAGCCTAAAACCAGCGCTTATTCTATGGCAGAGTTCGTGACCATGATCAAGTCCTTCTTTATTTTATTATCCTATAGAATAGTGAGGCTCACGCCCGCCTACGGCTTTGTGATTGGTCTCAATGAGATCGCTCTTAGGTATACACACGACAGATCAGTGTTCGAGCCCGCCATATTTGACCACATCACGTGTGATAAGTTCTGGTGGCGCAACTTATTGTACATCAACAATCTCTACCCACAACGTGAGATGTGCATGGTCTGGTCCTGGTACATGGCCAACGACACGCAATTCTACGTCGTCGGGATTATACTTTTACTTATTTCTGTCAAGTAAGTACGAATTTAAAAATAAAAGCTAATAAAAGACGGACAGCTAAGGCGAAAAAACTACAGACATAATGTTGCGTACATTGCGCTGGTTTCAGCAACAAATGGGACTATTTCCTAGTGTAAAATGACAAAATCTGTTCGCCTTTTCCCTTGAACACTTTTTCGTAAAGTGGAAAAGTTTGTTTACTGAATTTTTACAAGTTGTCTGGGCAACTATTAAGCCGATTTATGTTATGAATTCGTAGTGAAATTCTTGAAACGGTATTCAGCCAACAGTAGCCTAATGTAATACGCTTTATTCAACGAGCTACCTACTTTTCTTGGCTAACTTTGCGTATCGTACTCTCATATCTATGTTTTATTTGTTGGTCGTATTTCTTCGGGGTATATTATGACATTCTTGTATTTACAGGCATCCGAAGTTTGCGATGGTATCTCTCGGGTTGTTGATGGTGAGTTCATGGGCGACCACCATCTACATATCTGTGTGGCATCAATATAAGGCACGGATACAGGAGCCGTTTGAAATGTTCGACCCATTGTATGATAAGCCCTGGTCGAGGATTGGACCCTATTTAGTCGGTAAGTGGTTTAATTATTCTAATAATAACTACGGAACAAGTAGCGAAGGAAATTAGTTTTCTCGTCGATCTTTGTAAAACTTGTGCCGAATTATGAATAGACTGTGATGGATGGATGTTGTAGGAAGAAGTAATTACCGATTGACTGAGAATACGAAACCTCAACAAAGTTACGCGTGTTCCGTATTCTCTCGCGTCATACTCAGGTTTTTGTAGCTGTATAGGGGAAGCTCTCAGCTTCTTAAATTGAATCATCCTCTGAAGCAATTTCAAATTTGATAAATTATGAAGAGCGGCCGATGTCGGATGACTGGCTGCTATTCCTTATTTCTAATTTATTCGCGATTTGCCACGTCATCGTTTTCATTATTAAAGACTTTAAGATTTGTGTCTTTACCAGCGTGAAATTCAAGTAAAACGTAACAAGTTTGCTCTTGATGATTTGAAATGCAATTTTATATTGGGTATAGTAAAAACTAGACTTCATTTTAAAAGAAACGCTGCAGAGCACGTTTTAACTGTGTAGAACAAACATTTGTTTGATGAGCTCTTATTCCGGGTTGGACTATGATGTATGTATTCTAAAACAACACACAGAATGCTAGATTTGAAGTCCTCAAATATACCACGAAAGAAATTTATTTAAAAAATAATACTCGTTATCTAGGACTAAGTTATATCATAAGCTATCTTCATTAACCTCCTTCTTTCTTTTCGGTTATAAATTATAAATTATTATATTATTACGCCATTAGGTAAGATGTCTTTCGCAAAAATTTGCAAAAACATATTGCGTAAAATTCGTAACTGTCAATAAATATGGACATTAGTATGGAATTATTCGTAGACATATTTAAATAAGAATTAATATTATATTATCATACATACTTTCACTTCCTCGTCATAACCCTGTTTCGTATTATTCTGAAAGCTATTGTTGTACTCAATTTTATGTGAAGTTAGCCTGCAGCTTCTATTCACAAAACAATGCCGGCAAAATTGAAAAGCGAATATTAAAATAGGTCGAAATGGCCGCTCTAGTATGCGATAAAATAAAAGCACTGTTAAAAATTATTTGGGTCGATACACCGGCCGCGGCACCGCGCTCCGAGCTCAGATCGCAAGGAATGCTCGACGCGCCACTGATTGTGTATCCCTTCCGAACTGAGATCCTCTCGTAATCCCCGAAAATGGGCCTTTTACTGAGATTCTATCGATCGTACTAGAAAGCTATATGCTCACTATAGTCCGGTTTCATTTCTCTGGTCAGTGAACGAATAATAAAGATGTTCGACAAAGCGTAAACGTTGGCCTGAACAATCCGATAAGTTGGCACACTCAGCCCCTCTCACACTATATGAGTGCCCACGAACATTGATTATTATCAATAGAACCCCTTTTTCTTGAACAATTTGCATGAGAACAAACTTCCTTTCCATTTCGCTATTCTCTATTTCATGAAATTGTGTGTGTATTTGGTCAAAACGGGCATCCAATTATATGTATATTGTGTTCAGTTCAACAATTTCCTACTGATATTCCGTTCAGAATAAGCGAATAGTTGAATATTTTATTAGAACACGTTTCTCGGGTTGGATACAAACTACTTCAAATTTCGAATAGTAGTGTTTGTGGTACCTATGTACATTGAAATTAGAACGGTATAAAAATAACAAGAGCAGCATAAGTTGAGTCGAGGCAAGGCGGAGACGCTCGCCTGGAGCCGAGGTCGTTGAAAAATTTATTAGAGTTTTATTATAGGGAGGAATTACTCCTCCCAGTCGCCCTCCAACCATCTCATCACCGGAATTTATTCCGCTCATATAATATACAACATGCGTGAAGGTCTGTTCAAACCAATTTTGCACAGCTTCCGTCTGTAATCTCGATGGCTTGCCAATTTACAAATATTTACATAATTACATTATTCTGTGTCATCTTTAGAATGTGCTATTTGGTATTCTAATGTAAACAACACATGGTTTAATGTTCAAAACAAATAATTCAAGTTTCAATCATTGTAATTGATTCTAGTTGAAGTCGCTGAGCCATATCTATTAGGCTTACTTAGTTAAATAACGGGGACTTTTCATTATTTCGGTATCCTACTTAAGTAATTTTCTATTTGTGTTTTGTCGTATATTTAGTGTGGAATTTTATCCGTTGCCCAGTAGTCTAGAGTCTAGACCACTGCATCAATTATGAAATCAAAACCAATTCTGTACATCCTAGACTTCTAAAGATATGTTCTTAATTCCAGGAATGATAGTGGGATGGTACTTGCACAAGACTAAGTGTCAATTGAAGCTGCCGTATTGGGTAGTGGCGGTCGGCTGGCCGGTGGCGCTGGCCATCATCGGCAGCCTCATCTTCAGCATGGTGGACGGGTACTTCGAAGTTTGGCCTACGGCCTTCTATATTAGTATTGGACATACTGGTAAGTACTTAACGATTTATTAAGCAAAATATGACTGATTAGTTTCTATTTTAATGTGAAATATTATACAAAAGTTATTGTCTTGTTCCATTCATTGATTCTTGTTTGATCAGGCGTAACACGGTCCTGAACAAGTTACAGTTCTATAATAATTGTATTGAAGATATTAATCTTACATTCTAAAGATAAAGAATATCCTAGAGCTGCCCAATAATGACCTACTTACATAATTTTGTAACACCCAATATTCCCAAATTACACAATTTCCGCTTCGCTAGAAGGTTTCCCTTGGATTTAGCCATTCGTGTGCAAAGTATCCGAATCCGATTAGTTGGACTGAGTGTCGACGTTATCGTCCCACTAAGAACTGCTACCACAGTATCTCCTCTCCTATCTAAATTACCAGACTTTTAAGGACAAAAATTAAGACTGCGTATTATTTAAAGCAGATACTTTCATCTTTTTGCTAACATAGTCAAAGACGTATACCTACATACATACAGAAATAAAATACACAAACATAATATGATGAATTTTTCTTATGTCTAACATAAATACATCAAAGAATCTTTTTTCTCAAAGAAAAATAATAAAGAGAATGAATTTTATTTTTACATGAAATGGTGCGTAAGGTCTACGCGATCGTAGCAAAGTGCTACGCCGTAGTACTATGCGTAGCGACATATAAAATAGGCTACAGGCGCACACTACAGAACAAAATAAACAGCCGCTCTTCTGAAATGTATTGAATCATAAATGAAGTGAAAATTGCTTTATAAAATTCGCTAATTGCTTTGCTCTTTTAATGTTGTCACAGAACATTTACATTTTATCATGAAACGCTTGAAAACATATTAACATAATCTTTTAATGATTGCTCCGGTATTTCAATTAAACTTGATGTTTGCCAAAGTTTCGAAGGGGTTTCGCCCACGCATAAAAGAATACGTTGCTAGGTCGTCGCTTTCATAAACTAATCTCTTTTAAATGGTTACGTTTCACGATGTTGATATTGTTGTAATTAAAAAAGTATTAAAACTGGCATGAATCGTGTTAGAAGTCTAATAATTTCATATCATTTCTCTCTCTCTGTAATATACTATTAAAGACTAGAAATCTACCTGGTTCTAGATTTTGTGCTACTGGGTTCACCAACAAAAAACCGAATAATATTATGTTTTGATCAGAATCTGAAACCTATTTATATGCAGTTTTACGATCGCTACCCATTGGGATACTATTGAACTACCATACTGTTTGTCTTTAATAAATTGCAGTCTACAGAATTATAAATTCTAATAGAAAGAAACTGCTATGATGTTTATCTATATTCATTTCCAGCTTGGGGAGTAGCAGTAGCATGGGTGGCGATATCCTGCTGCAGCGGATACGGAGGGCTGGTGAACTCAGCACTCTCATACCGAGGGCTGCTCCCTCTTAGCAGGCTGACGTACTGCGCCTATCTGGTGCACCCTACCATCATGATGTACACCTCATTCCTGCTCGACGGACCTTATCATATGCAGAATTCTACTGTGGTGAGTACTAAGTACCTTTATTAATTAACAAATTTATTATTTGGTAAAACATTATCAAATGCATTCTGTTTCGTCGTGTGAGTTAAGTTATCCGAGGCCTAATTACCCCCTCCCCAATCTCACCAATCCCCGAATCCCCAAAAATCCTCAAATTTCTAAGACCTGGTAACGTTCTAACGTAGCAAACACCAGAGGTGTTACTAGTGCAACACCTCTGGTGTTACTAGTGCAACACCTCTGGTGTTTCGAGTGTCCATGGGCGACGCCGATTGCATACCATCAGGTAATCCGTCTGCTCGTCTACCGGCTTATTCAATAAAAGCTTATTCTACAAAAAAAAACTGCAACTCTTTGTGTGACCCACAAATTGTTGTCTATCTTGGTGTCATATATGTGAAATTGTATATTTGTTAATATGTGGTGTACATGCCAGAAATAATGCTAATGTGGGGCTAAGTTAAAAAAAACGATTGACATAATAATGCTTTGTCTGACCAAGGAATCTAAACAACCTTAATAAGCTTTTTCATTTCGTTTTTTATTCATTTTTTATACTTAATATGTACCTGTCCTGAAATAGAAATGTAGAGGTAGCCTTGGTAACGAGAATTAGGGACATAAAATATAATAAATTTACGAACTATAAAACATTATTATGAACAAAAATGTTCACACGTCCACAGCTTACCTGCAGACTGATAACAGCATAAATCTGTCTAAATTATTCAATGACACAGTCTATCCTTATAGCAGTAGATAAAAACGTAATAAAATTTGATACCTGCGTACCAAGGGTAGAGGGTGACTCATTAACCGCACCCCAAATTCACCCTTTTTAGCAAATATAGGCGTTAATTTATTACCGTTGACATAACTAAATAATGTTCGTGTTATTTATCGTCCTACTTCATTACAAAAACTCAATATGTTTATTCCATTTGGCTAAAGTCGCTGGCGTTCAATGTTCTAACTTTGTAGGTTGTGTTCAAAACACAATTGGCTGGAAACCGTCTCTAGTTCCCATTTTGTATTGAATTTTATTGACAAGTAACTGAGTGGAAGTCGAGTCGTTTTTTCAGTACGTTATAGTGTTTAAGCACATAGATTTTTTTCTGGTTTCGTAGCAGAATATTAAACAGAAAATTTTTATGTCATGGGTATTTTTGTTTATCAATTGGAGATTTCTTAAGATACTTGGGATCAACAGGATTTTAAAAATGTACATATTTTTTAGATGTAGGTACTGATCTTGTACTGATACCCTCGAAAAGCCGTGAAGGATGTAAAGTTTAATAAAATACTGTCTTACAACTTCTGAATGTGTACAAAGATTAGCTTAGAAGTTTGTGTTACAACCCAGACGTAGATTCATCGTCATTTTAGATCTAGGTTCCAAACAAACACAAATAAGTACTAAAATGCGACGTAATTTTACTATCTACTAGATATGAAAACTAGTGCAACTCCGATTCATTTATTTAATGTCTTCAAACAAACAAACAGAGACGACGGTTTAGATAAACACAGGGTTCGTAAAGGAATTTGGGGCTCTAAGATTAAATTGCAACTGAGTCTTATTGCCGACATAAATCTCTCGTTTGGGTGACGATTACTACGACAATGTAAAAAGGAAAACTATAAGAGGGAAAACATTTCATTAAGGTCGCCTTTTAACATAAAATGTGCCATAAAGAATGCTGCAATACACTTCCGAAGTGACTTGGCAGGCACAGATTTATGCCACGCTTTCAACATCCATTCAAAACGCTGGCACTTCAAAAGGCCCTTGAATTGAGTAAAAAACTTGGGATCCCTTGTATAACTGAACATTTTTTCACGACTGGGGTCTGACAGGTGGGTCTAACTGTCTAGGTCTAAGCATTTCTATTATATAGGTAATATTTTGAAGCTGAATAGGATGTTTATCTGTGAGGTTGGTTCGATGAATTAATAGAGAAAAAGACTATAGGCGATAAAACATCACACTTTGAGCAATACGAGACGAATAATTTTCCGTATGGGAGAGCCATGCTTCGGCACGAATGGGTCGGCTCGACCGGAGTGATACCACGGCCTCACTGAAAACCGACGTGAAACAACACCTGCATTGTGTTTCGTCGTATGAGTGAGGTTACAGAAGGCCCAATTACCCTCTCCTTCCCCAATCTTCCCAATCCCTGAATCCCCAACGATGCTCAAACTCTTAATCCCCAAATGGCCGGTAACGCACTTGTAACGCCTCTGGTGTTTCAGGTGTCCATGGGCGACGCCGATTGCTTACCGTCAGGTGATGCGTCTATTCGTTTACCGGCCTATCCCATAAAAAAAGAATATAGTGAGTGCAACTGCGTAGCAATATCTGGTTTCCTTCTTTAATTAATACATAGTATAAAACAAAGTCGCTTTCGCTGTATGTCCGTATGTATGCTTAGATCTTTAAAACTACGCAACGGATTTTGATGCGGTTTTTTTTAATAGATAGAGTGATTCTTAAGGAAGGTTTGTATGTATAATACATGCATATTCCACCCGTGCGAAGCCGGGGCGGGTCGCTAGTTGTACTATAAAGGATTATTTTTGAAAACGGGTTGGTACTATGGCTAACTACAATTCCCTGACACTCATTACAGTGCAACTGGAGCAGCTATTTACTGAGTTGTTAACAAGTTGTTGGGCACTCGATACTACCTAATTGAAACCAGTAGACGTTTCTATCGGGAACCTTAGACGCTAGACTAAGTTTTAAGAGTCAGTTTATTTTGTTAAGTTATTGTAGCGTACACTAAATTGTTATAGAACATTTTGAGTAGTCGTAGTGATTGTAGTTATAGTAAGCAATTTTTTAGTTAGTTTTTTAGTTAGTAATGTTAGAAGTTCTGTTGCGGTGCGGTTACTATTGCCGTACGGCACCGAGCTGAATTCTAGATTCAAAGCTAGAATATGAATTAGTACATTGGGAATTGTCTCTAATGTATGTTAATAATCTTAGTCCCATCTATAAATATGTCTAGACCTCACGGTGACCTACCTTTTCAACGAAAAACAGGCGGTGTGTCGTATTTATGAATATAAACAGCTGCATAAATATCCATAAATAGAATATGAAGGGTTCCGTGACAAAAGAAATTTATGCGCCGACTTGTTTACCATTAAATACTGCTTTACGACAAAGTAGGCGTTTGATCCGTCTTTAATATTTAATCGATTGGATATTTATACACAACGGGAGATATTATATTATCTGTGTAACTGTGTAGGGTATATTTGAACGTTCCATATTTGAACGTGTTTTTCGGGGAAAATATTCCGTTACACAAAGCCGGAGAGAATTTTTATTGGTCTGTATTTGTCAGTCAATAAAAAAAAAGATTTTTGTTTCTATAGAGCTATTCTTTAAGAAAATTTTAGAGCATTGTCGTACAGAATAGCCACCAATATATTACTTATGGACTACTAGCTTTTCGCGCGACTTCGCTCGCGTCGTGTAAACTCGTGTAGGATGTTAGTATACCAACACATAAAGCTATTGCTTTTGTTTCACTCTATCTGTTAAAAAAAAATCCGTAATTTTAAAGACATAATCAGATAGACACACCAATGGCGGTACAACTTTGTTTTATACCATATAATAATAATAATGATCCAAGGCTATCTCCAGCCATCATAAATACACCTGCGGACGGCGAGCAAGGGTAGCTCTCCGCCCGACCAAAACTAGACCAAACAGTAGGGCGCATTCCGCGCACCCTTTAAAGAGCATATAGACCACCACAGATGGGTCCCAGCAGGCTTGATGCCCGATGCGGAGCCGCAGAGGACTTGACCGGTAGCCAGGGCTCCGACTCAAAGAGCAGGAAGGAACGGGGTGGTTTTTAGTCAGTAAGAGTCCGACACTACCTCTAATCTCACACGAGCGGAAGAAATCATTAGACAATGTTCCTCTCTCAAAAAAAAATATCAACCTTGATCACTGCATCTTACCACTCATTATTTTTCTACTTCATAACCACACATAACAAGAAAGTAGTAACAAAGTGTCATTTTACTTAAAATGTTATGCAAGGGAAACCATTTTATAACCCAGTTTTATTGCAGTGGAGATGTAAACACGCATTACGTACGTCTCCGTACCCTGATGGTATTATCACCATAAAATGTTGCTAAAATGATCACAGATATGGCTGTCAAATTTTATAACCTCTCCGACCATAATCCATTAGACTGGATGTAATGTAATTTTATATTTAAAGTGTCACTCCTCATAAGCGATTGGGCTTCGTTCAGTTTCAATAGGTTAGTAGGTTCTAGCAAAGAGTACCTATAATAGAGGTAAGTATAGGGGTTGGTTCTAGTATAATATTGTTAAGGTTCTTTTATTCCGAAAATGTTACTTGCCAGTAAGAACCTGTTTGAAAAGAGTTTAGTTTTAAGTCAGGTTTATTATTCACTGGGAGGATGATAGCCTAATTAATGATAAACTGACAGACTATTTTTATTGTGTTCTTGACTCTCATAAGTGTCTTTTCTGGTCTAATCTTATACTATTATATAAAGCGAAAGAGTTTGTTTGTTTCTTTGTTTGTTTGAACGCGCTAATCTCCGTAACTACAAGTCTGATTTGAATAATTCTTTTTGTGTTGGATAGCGCATTTATCGAGGATGGCTATAGGCTATAAAACATCTCGCTACGACCAATAGGAGCCGAGCAGAGCAGGTGAAACCGCGCGCAAGTAGCTAGTTAAAAGTATATCTTTTCGCCATATCCATGTTTTCGTATCTTTTCGAGGAGAAGGTGACTCGTGACATTTTCTATGTTCTCTTTAAGTTTAACAAATATTTATTACACTGTAGTTTAGACTTGGCGTCTTCGAGTTTGCTGAAGCACTAATGCACTCTGAAGTACAGCTGTGCTTTAACAAAACTAAAGAACAACTACATTTCATTGTGAACTGTAACGTTCGTGGAACTTTCTAGTATTATATCTAATAGCACATCGTACT